GGAGTGAGAGTGTAGGGAAGCTGCCCCTAGCGGCCAGAAGCTAGGCTGCAGACCAGCCCCAGACTCCAGCTCCCCCTCAACTGTAGCGACGCTCAGAGCCATCCCTGGCATTTCTAAGCTGGTCCTGTGCTTCCTGGCCCCTTCTGAGGCTATCAAAGCCCCCATTATCTGAGCGCAGCTGTGCCAGCACTCAGCCCCTCCCATCGGAGAAGCCAGGTGTCTGGGCCCTGAGGGGGCTGCCTGGATACAGGAGAGGGTGCAGTGGCCACTTCAGAAGGGCACCCAATAATGGCCAGTGCTGGAGAGGGGTGCTTGGAAGGCAGGAGCTTTGGGGAAAGCTTGGGTGCATAGCTCAGACCACAGCTTCTGGCCTGTAGAGGAGCTATTGGAGTGTGGAAGTTGCAGGAGAGCACAGGTTCTTCAAAAAAGCCTGGAAAAGTCTCTGGGGCAGGCTGGGAGGCAGCCAGCTGCACCCTGTGGGGACAAGGCAGGCCTGGCCTCCTGGCTCGCCTCTCCTCCTCCCTCTTGTGCTGAGCCCTCGGTGCTGTAGTCCAGGGCTGGCAGCTTCTAGTTCAACCAGCCAACCCCTGTGACACTGCACTTCACCATTTCTCATCCAGATGAACCCTGGGGCTATGTGAGCCACTACATTCTGTTGCTAGGACACAGGTTTGTGAAGGAAAGCTGCCTCTGTTGGCTGCCAGTGCCAGCACGCATGTCTAAGATCTAAGGGGGCTGCATGGAGCAGGCGTGGGTCCAGTTACCCCTGGGACGGAGGATAGAAATGAGCAGTGTCCTTTGGCTATGAATCAAAATGCCAGACCTCAAAACTGGAGGGAAGGTACTTACCAGCAATGGTTAGAGTTGAGTCTGGATGGATTTCAGTGTAAACGCTCCCAGCTGGCAACAAAGGAGGCCTTCATAATGCCCACTTTCAGGAAAGGGCTCCCTCAAGAAGGGCCAGTCTGCAGTGGGCTGTTGAGCCCCTCATCAGAATGGTTGGGATAGACTTTCATAAGGTTATGGGTGACAAAGAAAGATTCCACATGTGTGCTGGGGACCCTGCTGGGTGTGGGTGGGTTTACAGCCCAGAAGCAGAAGGGGCATTCAGAGGCTAGGGTGTCCCTAACAGTTGGCTATCTGCTCTCCTGGCTTCCCCTGGCCCCAGGAATCTGCCTACCGCAGTCTGCAGCCCACCCTACCTCAGGAGCGCCTGCTCTCCCCAGGAGCCAGGACGTGTGCACTGACAACTCTGAGTGCAGGGGTAGTGGTTTAGGGATGTTAGGGGTGGGGTGTCTTCCCTGGCCACAGTCAGGGTTTCCCAGGCAAAGATGGTGCTACATCCGAGACACCAACTGGGCTGAGTTGCAGTCCCTTGGCTTCCTAGCCTGGTGGACCTGCAGCCCTCTGAAGCCCATGTGCTGGTGAGCCACGCAGATGCCATCCAGACCTAAAGCCTCGGAGTCCTTCCCGGCTGATGACTCCACCAGTTTTAGGCCCCCAAACAGGACCAGATCCATAGCTGGCTTTGGAATGAATAAGAAAAGGCCTCCTGCCCAGCTTCTTCGGGGTTCCACTCGGTCCCATTCCTTCCCTTCCGGATGTCACTGCTTAGCATTTGTCTCCCTTCGTGATTCTGCTCCGGTTCAGCTCTGTCCTGTCCCTAGTGGGCGGCTTGGGCTGGAATCCTCTCTTTAAATTCTTAAGGGTTTGGAGAGGGCTTTGTTGTTTTAGAGAATCTGAAGGCGGGTTGGAACTAAGTCCACAGCTTGGGGGTGGGATATGGTTAGAAAACTCTCCCGAAGTTCCCTGTGTTGGGGTTAAGGTGCTACAGGTGAGCAGGGTGCATTTGGGGGATCTGGAAATGATGAGGCCAAGGCCCCCACACCGGCGTTGCTGGCGTCCAGAGGACTGAGGGGCAGGGATCTGGCTGAGTCGCCTCTAGTTGGTGCCAAGGTTTTGCCTAGAGTTCCAGGCGGGAGAGGAGGAGAGAAGTGGAAAAGCCTGGGAAAGCAGGGAGAAGCAATGGGCGAAGTGGGGGCGGGCAACTGGCAGTCCTCAAGGCCCACCCCCGGGCGCCACGGGGCAGCCCAACAGGGGCTAACAGGCTCTTGCTCTGCATGTGGATTTTTGCAACCTGTGATGTCTACTCCATCAGTACCGTCCACTGACGCCGAGACTTGCTTGGCTAAGCCGTGGCTCTGCTGTCCCACCTCCGCCTAGCCAAGACTGCAAAGCCAGCTCCAGCTCTGTGAAGGGAGAAGGAACATCCAGGGAGCACAGCGCAATCAAAGCTTCCTCTAGCCGGGAAGCTGTGGTCTCTTCACCTTCTCCGGCCATAGAACACGGCTTTCCAGTTTCACCCGGCAGTGCCCTCTTTCCCGGGGCAAAGCTCCCGTCAACCCTCCAGGCTCTGAGCTGCGAAGTTTGAGTCGGTCCTCCTTCCTTTAGCCAATGAGAAGTACCTCCCTTGTTCTAACTCGCCTTCTTGCGTCTCCACAGCGCCCTCCACCGCTCCCTCCCCGCCCCTCCTGCCCTCCCCGCAGCAAGTCCTGGGCTCTCGTCCGCGGAACCTTGTCCTACTTCGCTTGTCCTCGCTCTGGCCGCTGTCGCCCAGAACCCTCGCAGAGAAGCAACGGGTCCCGTGACCGCGCAGAGCCCCCCGCGGGGGCGGCTAGAGTCGGGGACGGCGCAGAAGGCGGGGCGCGTGGGAAGAAAGGGGGTTTTGTGCGGCGCCCGGCGGGCTGGCGCCCCTGTCTGCGTCCCGCGCGCCCGGCCTTGCTCGCGCCCGCGCATTGCGCCGCAGTCTCGGCCGCAGCTGCGGGACGCGCGGTGTGCAGAGGGGACCTCGCAAGGTGAGTGCGGAGACCTGGCGCTGCCAGCCGATTACTTGCTGTGTGACCTTGGGCAAGTTTCTTGACCTCTCTGAGCTTGGGGATCCGGGCGTGGGCGAGAGCGGGTCGCGGGCCTGACTGCTGTGGGCGACCGGGACGCCCGCCGCAGCTTCTGGGGGTCCCCGCGCACCCGAGGGCGCGGTCGACGCCGCCTCTCCTAGGGCAGGCGCACAGCGCACTGTGCGGGTCTCCGCGCCCCGAGCCACACGGACGCTCGCTCCCTGCCTCCTCCACGCAGCCTGCCGGAGCCAGTGGGCGATTGAGAGCTGCGCAGCAGCCGAGGATGCCCCAGGCGGAGGCGGGGGGCTGCTGAGTTCGTTGCGCTGTAGCGGCCTTCTCCGGGAAGGGTCAGAGTGCCCGAGCTCCCAACAGGAGCCACTCTTGGCCACTCAGGTCGGAAACTCATGTCCCAGGGCAGTCGGACGCTCTGACCTTAGGCTTCCTTCTCCTCCCCTGCTGTCCCAACACAGGTGAAAGGGATGGTAACGGGGTCGGAATTGTGAGTAGCTCCTGCTCCCATTGGACAGTAGCCCAGCCGGATTCTCCGGCAACCCCTTTCTCAGAACATCTGGCACCTGTCTACTTCTTGCTTCTCAGGGATAACCCTAGTTATCTCACAGCCCAACGGAGAGTGAAGGCCACAGTGGTGGTTAGCAGGGGAGTTTGCCTGGGAGCACTTGAAAGAAGGACATTTCCCATCATAGGCAGAGCGCGTGAGGGCTAGGGGTGAGAAGGAGCCAGTGAGAATAAGTCATATCAATCGGCAGGAAATCTTGCCTGAGGTCCTAACTTGGACCCTGCTGCATCATCAGCCATGTGGACCCTCAGGGTCTTCCAGCTCTGGCCTGGCTCTTAAAGACGGTTTTGTTTTTGTTTTTGTTTTTTTTTTTTTTTTTTTTTTGGTAACTTATTTTTAAAGACTGTTTATTAACTCTGCAGCTTTCCTTCCTGAAAGCAAATGCCCTGCCTGCTGATTTGACTCTGCTGGTGGCCCAGCCCTCCCTGGGCATCCACCTCCATTTCCCCTGAGAGTGTAAGTGCACTGAGATCCTCAAAAAGGGAGAGTGTTTCCAGAGCCGATGGCCAGGGCAGAGGGGTGGCCTCTCCCTGTACTCCTCTCCAGTACACTCCAAGTTGTAGGCTTTCACAAAAGATGGGTGGGGGAAGGAGCAACTGGATGGAGGCCAGACTGGCAGGGACAGGGTCTTTGTCCCAGCTGGCTTCTGAGCCAGGAGATCCGGTGGGAAAGCCCGTGCCAGGCAGAGGGGAGTGACTGGGAGCAAAGTAGGAGGAATGGAGGGGGCGGAGGATGTTGGGCACCAAGGAAAACTTCTTTCCAAGTCCTTGTGGGGAGGAAGCCGGAGAGGCTGCAGTGCCTGGGCTCAGGCCAGGAGGCCCTCCTGGAAGAGGAACGCTAGGCAGGAAAGGCTGGGGGTTCACCATGGGCGGAGGAGGCTCAGGATCGGCACCCGGCACCCGAGGGCAGGGGAGAGTGGGGCCACAGCTGTGCTCCCAACCCTGCCTACACATGCCTTTCATACACAGGGACCTGCCTCTAGGTGACTTACAATTTCTAAGTGCATACATGCTGTGACAAAAAAAGCTGTATGTGTTCAGTACAGACTCCTTTTTTTTTCTGAATGTTTGGTGGGTGGCTGGTTGAACAGAAGAGCATGGGAAGCTGATTGCACAGTGCCATCCATCATTGTGTTATAAGCATTCACTGAACATCTACTCTGTGTCTGGTGCTGGCATAGGCACGGGGTGCTTTCTGCTGTAGATTATAGTAAGGTAAATATATATATATATATATGTGTGTGTGTGTGTGTGTGTGTGTGTGTGTGTGTGTATGCAGTCAGACAGACATCACTCAAAGCACATGGCCCCATCAGAATGCATAACATAGTAATGATGCTGAGCTTTTTTTTTTTCTTTGCAAAAAAGAGGCTTATTGATGGTAAGGACCTTGGCTTAGGTCACTCGATGAGTTGAATTGGGGACACCTCTTTGTGCTGAGGAGTTGGGATCAGAAACAGAGTTAATGGTGATTCTGGTATGTGCTGCCCATGTGGTATGACAGAGAGCAGAGAAAGTCCATCCTAAAGTCTAACCACACTTTTCATCTTTCCTCCTCAAGTTTGCAGCATGATCTCACTGTTCCTGTCCCTGCTGGCAGCCCTGGTACTGACCCAGGCCCCTGCAGCCCCAGCTGATGATCTGAAAGAGGACAGCTCAGGTGAGCAACCCTCCAGAGGACCATTGTTTCTCTGTTGCATCTCCCCTAGGGCAGAAAGCTGTCTCAGTTCAACCCTAGCCACCTGCTTCCAGCCCAGGTACTGGGAAGGAGAAAGACGTGGAAGCTCTTTGGGCAAGGGCTGGGGCCAACTGAAGAATAGGGATGAGTTGGGGACCCTTGAAAGTGGGGGAGCCTTAGAGTCGAGGCTGCTAAGGGTGGAGGATCAGATTCAGGACCCTGGGCAGGGCTCAACAGCCTGAGCAGAGCGCAGGCACCCTAGGCGAGTTGGTTCTGGGGGGCGGGGCTTGGAACCACGCGCACAGGCGCACTGCGTCCTGCGTCTGGCTGCAGCGGGCTTTGACCCCTGTCCACAGAGGACCGAGCTTTCCGCGTGCGCATTGGCGCCACGCAGCTGCGGGGCGTGCTGGGCGGCGCCCTGACCATCCCATGCCATGTCCACCACCTGCGGCCGCTGACCAGCCGCCGGGCCGCGCCGGGCTTTCCCCGGGTCAAGTGGACCTTTCTGTCCGGAGACCGGGAGGCGGAGGTGCTGGTGGCGCGCGGGCTGCGGGTCAAGGTAAACGAAGCCTACCGGTTCCGAGTGGCGCTGCCCGCCTACCCTGCATCTCTCACCGATGTGTCTCTGGTGTTGAGCGAACTGCGGCCCAATGATTCCGGGGTCTATCGCTGCGAAGTCCAGCACGGTATCGACGACAGCAGTGATGCAGTGGAGGTCAAGGTCAAAGGTGAGAAGACAGAATAGAGTGAGGTTCCCGAGAGAGAGAGAGAGAGAGAGAGAGAGAGAGAGAGAGAGAGAGGAGAAAGAACTCTGGCCCCGCAGGAAGCTGAGTGTGTGGAGGCTTAGCAAACCTTGCACGTGAAAGGCACAAACTGAATTGGAAAAGGAGAGCGGGAAACAGCTCTAGAGTGAGCACAATCGGACATTGCCTTTTGTGAACCGGGAGTGACGGGAGGGGAGGTCAGTGTGCTGGTGATTGTCAAGCTCAGGAGTCCTTTCTGCTCCTCAGGGGTCGTCTTCCTCTACCGAGAGGGCTCTGCCCGCTATGCTTTCTCCTTTGCTGGAGCCCAGGAAGCATGTGCTCGCATAGGTGCCCGAATCGCCACCCCTGAGCAGCTCTATGCTGCATACCTCGGCGGCTATGAACAGTGTGATGCTGGCTGGCTGTCCGACCAGACTGTGAGGTGGGTTGGGAGTGTGGACCAGGGGCTCTTGGTCATGTCAGAGTGCTTGGGGCTTCCACCCTCCACCGAGGTTTCCCAGGCCTCCCTGGCCTGAGGAAAGTGGGTGAAGCCTGGGACATGCTTTTCTGTGTCCTGATATTCCCCACTTGTCACACAGCGGTAGGGTTGATATGGGACAGCCTCCTGGGGGAAGACAGCAGTCCTTAGCCTCTTCCTCTCCCTTAGGTACCCCATCCAGAATCCACGAGAAGCCTGCTATGGGGACATGGATGGCTACCCTGGAGTCCGGAACTACGGAGTGGTGGGTCCCGAGGACCTGTATGACGTCTACTGTTATGCTGAAGACTTAAATGGTGATTGGGAGTGACAAGCCTTTCTGCAACAAGGCCTTTGGTTTCTTCTGGGTCCTCCAGTAGACTTCGTGTGTCTAGGACAGAATAGGCAGGCAGTTGATGTACTTCTCCAAACACTGTCCCAGAAGCACCTCCATGAGCAAACCTGACAGGTAGTCACCAACTGGGGGTGAGTTGCAATGCTGCCTCCAAGCCCTATAGAGTGAGGAATTAGGGTTAGGCTCCTCTATGCACTCGTTTTCACATTGGGTTTGATGCAGACCTTGATACATACTATCAGGTGGGTAAGCTGACCCCATGTCAGGAATGAGTTTGCCTAGGGACCTGTAAGTATTTAGGGTAAAAGGACTGCCAACTGCCTGATGACCCAGGCTCTCTTCTCACTCAGGAGAACTGTTTCTAGGAGCCCCTCCTGGCAAGCTAACATGGGAGGAGGCTCGGGACTACTGTCTGGAACGGGGCGCACAGATTGCCAGCACAGGCCAGCTGTATGCAGCCTGGAATGGTGGCCTGGACCGATGCAGCCCCGGCTGGCTGGCTGATGGCAGTGTGCGCTACCCCATCATCACTCCCAGCCAACGATGTGGCGGGGGTCTGCCAGGAGTCAAGACCCTCTTCCTCTTCCCCAACCAGACTGGCTTCCCCAACAAGCAGAACCGCTTCAATGTCTACTGCTTCCGAGGTGAGCCTTCCCAGGTGCCCTCAGAAGCAGCGCCAGACCTCCTGGAAGTCTAGCCTCATCTTCACCATCTTCCTGGTCATTTACCCACAGAGGTCTTAATGGTGCCCAGATTATCATCTAGGGTCTGAGCATCTTCCCTGTAGCCTCTGAATCACTTCACCTGCCTCCCCCTCAGTTGTCTGTGCCAGCTTCTGCCAGTTCCAAAGTTGCCTAGTCCTCAAGTCTGTCAGTGTAGTGATCAGCACAGGTGGCTGAACCAGTTCTTCAGTGAGCCACAACGGGAACTCCCTAGTGTGCCTGGATCCTACAGCTTACTGGGGGTCAACACCAAATGCTATTGAGTGCACAGAGGGTGGTACCTGGAGGTTAGCTGGTTGCAGATTCTGAGCCCAGCACTCTGTCCTGAAGGGAACAGTAAGAGGCATTGGGGTGGAGGAGCGGGGAGGGGAGATGGAGGATGGAGGTAGCAGGGATGCAGGTTTACTGGTCTGGAGTGAGATGAAACAAGGCTTGCTGGAAGAAGTCGTCACAGGCACAGGGACACATAGTCCTGCCTGTCCTTGCTGGGGATAGTCCTCTGGGCTCCTCTTACTCCAATTTCACTTTGGAGTCATTAGCTCTGTGTTCCCTCCCCAGATGATGAGGTAGTAACTGAGCAGAACACACAGAAGGCAGGTCTGTTCCTTTTTCCTGTTGCCTTAGTTGAATCCCAAGCTCCTCAGTGAAGATTGAATGTTGTGCCTGGGGGATGGAGTCTGTCACTTCTCAACCCAAACTCAGCCTACAAAGTACAGACCACTCCATCCACCCACTCAGTGTTCCCTCAGTTCAGGAAGCATCTCCTTCAGATGTTTCAGACCCCCTGAAGGAAAATTAGCCCCAACTTTGTCTTATAACTTCTCAAGTGGTCTATTATGTATGTCTTGTCTCTGTTTTCTCAGCATGGGGTTTTCCTAGCATTCTCTATACCATACCCAGAGAATGCTTAGCCTAAAAACTAACAGGTACTCCATTAGTGATGGAGTCCCAGGGTGCCTGTGAGCTCTCTGTAAGAAGCTGTGGAAGGATTGAAGCACATTCTAGGGCCTGCTGGGGTCTATTCTAGAGGCTCAAATGCAGGCCATGCCCTAGAAGGACTCAGCTGCCTAGTTAGCTTCCCATTGTCCTTTTCCTCTTGCCACAGACTCTGCCCACCACTCAGACTTCTCTGAGGCCTCCAGCCCAGCCTCCGATGGACTAGAGGCCATTGTCACAGTGACAGAGAAGCTAGAGGAACTTCAATTGCCTCAGGAAGCTATGGAGAGTGAGTCTCGTGGGGCCATCTACTCTATTCCCATCACGGAGGATGGGGGAGGAGGAAGTTCCTCTCCAGAAGATCCAGCAGAGGCCCCTGGGATTCTTCTAGGTAACTTTAAGCCCATACCTTGGATTCTCACCACCTGAGAGAAGTTGGGGGCAGGAGGGCAATCCCGGGTGGATGCTGGGGTCATAGCTGGCATAATTTTGGCCTGGCCTTCTGGCAGCTCTCCTATCCCTTTCCCAAATTTCGTTTTCAAGTAAATTCCACCTCCAGTTCTCTGCAGTTAGAGAAGCATGTTTTTAGAGGGTGCTCTTTGGGAAGGAAATATAATCCTAATCTCCCAGAGAGATAAGAAAAAGTTGGCAGACTGGGAGAGGGAGATGCAACAGCCTTGTCTGCCCGAGCTAGAAGCGCCTTGCAGAACCCTGCAGAGTGTTGCAGGGTCAGAGTTCTTCCAGACAGGCAGTGTGCACCAAGGACACCTCTCTCCCAGGTCTCCCCGGGGCCCTCCCCCATGCCCCGCCCTTCCCCTACCTTCCCCAGCCTGCTCTGGGGTGCTGTCCCTGGTGCTGAACTGTTTTGCTGTGGTCAGAATCGGAAACCCAATCCGTTGCACCACCACCACCACCACCACCTACCGGGTCCTCAGAAGAGGAAGACATAGGCCTGGAGGAAGAAGAAAGATACAAAGACACAGAGGTTCTGGAGGAAGAGAAGGAGCAGGAGGACCTGTGGGTGTGGCCCAGGGAGCTCAGCAGCCCTCTCCCCACTGGCTCTGAAACAGAGCAGTCCCTCTCCCAGGTGTCCCCACCAGCTGGGGCAGTTCTGCAGCTGGGTGCATCACCTTCTCCCAGGCCTCCGAGGGTCCATGGACCATCTGCAGAGACTTTACTCCCCCCAAGGGAGGGAAGCCTCACATCCACTCCAGATGGAGCAAGAGAGGTAGCAGGTGAAACTGGAAGCCCCGAGCTCTCTGGGGTCCCTCGAGAGAGCGAGGAAGCAGGGAGCTCCAGCTTGGAGGATGGCCCTTCCCTGCTTCCAGCCACATGGGCCCCTGAGGGTACCAAGGAGCTGGAGACCCCCTCAGGAGAGAAGTCTGGAAGAACTGTTCTGGCAGGGACCCCAGTGCAGGCCCAGCCAGTACTGCCCACCGACAGTGCCAGCAGAGGCGGCGTGGCTGTGGCCCCCTCACCAGGTAATTCTGCTGAAGGCTCGGTACCCTCGTTCCTCCTTTTTCTCCTTCTCCAGCTCTGGGCAGTCGGCCTTTAATCCACCTTCTCTGCAGACCCTCTGGTCCTTTGCCGCCGTCCCCTTACCTGTCTCTCCCTGTGGGTCTCCAATCTTGGATGTCCCATCTTGTCTCTCCACCCAGTTCTTGTTCCTCCCTGCCACCCAAGCCCCACTCCTGAGCCGTGGGCCCTGTGCTGTAGCTCACACTCACAGGCCAGACAGAATGTCCCCATGCCTCTTCCCGATGCCCGCACCGCTCATCACACCCTTTGGAGCCAGGTCCATCATCTCTGCTCTCCTCCATGTGTCCTTTGCTCCATCCCTTTAATCACCCCCCCCCAGCGATTCCAGGGAAGCCTGAGAGACCATACCTGCCCTCACTTCTGGGGACCAGAATATTCACCCCAAAGAGCCTTAAGCCACTACTTCTGTGAAGTATTTTTTGACCGTTTTGTGGAAAACAAGCCTTGGAAATAAATGTCTATTAAAGTGCTTTGTACCCAGCTGTTGACACCCTGCCATCTCCAGCTGTCTTCTCTGCTCATGACTGAGTCTGAATCAGGAATGTCTGGTCCCATGTGCCCTCTCCATTCCTCTGTGACTCTCCATGTGAGTCTATGCCACTCTTCTTCAGCCAACACCCTTGCCGTTCCAATGGGGCAGCAGCCCCTTGCTGTCCCTTCTGTCTCTCCTTGGACCATCTACACTTCCCCCCTTACTACTGAGACCCCAGACTTGACTTACATCTCACCCAAGGGAGTCCTCTGCCACCTACGGAAGAAGGACTCACAGCCAGGGTGTGGTGTGGTGTGTGACCTACCCAGGTAGTTCCTGCATGGAGCCAGTTCTCTGGCTCCCCAAGGTTTACTTACATACACCATCCCCTTCCATGCACCCTGTAAGGGACAGCACTACTGCTCCTTGTGCCCGGTGTTCCCCTACTGCACTAACCCTGCACTAATGACCACTCCAGCCCCCAGAGAAGTGGGTTTATGATCTCCAACGCCAAGGACCACGCAGAGCAGGGTGAGGTGGAATGGGGTGGAAGGAAAGGAACCGGCTTCCACCATCTGAGAGGAGCCTCTGTCCCAGAAGCCTGCGGTTCCCATTGGAAGCCCTCAGGAAAGGCTGAGGCCCTCCCAGGCTCTCCCCTCCTCTCCGTGACCCCTATCTATGTCATCTTCAGCTCACCCATTGCAGCTGTTGCCTTTCTGCCCACTGGCCTTGGAGTGGCTGGAGTGGGAAAGGGGGAATTGCTGCAGTGTAGCTCACCTGTAGAGGGAGCCAGAGAGCCCCTAGCCAGCTATGTCAGGAGATGGGAAAGAAGTACTTCCCCAAAAGGAAAACTCAAAAGGCGTCCCTTCACCCCACACTGCCCAGCCAAGGTCCAGGCCCTGTAACCCACAGCCAGGGTGGGTCTTATGGCTTAGAGAGCAGGAGGACCAGGGACTGAGCTGTCTCCCAGGAAAGAGAGGAGACTGGAGAAAATGAGGACATCAGGGACTCTCACCTTCATCTCCTGAGGCCAGGCTTCACCTTAGTGGGGGAGACTGTTGGTGGAGGCGGAAATGAGGAGTGGATGCTCGAAAGGCTGACTGGTCCATTCTACCTACTGTAGCTAGGTCATCGGCAAATTAGCTCAGCTTTCTTCCCCCCTCCCCCGCTGAGGCCAGCGTGAAGCATTGTGGGCCTTGTGGGCTGCTGGTGTGGAGTAGTTCTGAGAGACCTGGTCTGCCTGAGCTGCCTGTGGCCATCTTGACCAGAATGCAGTAGATGCTGGCAGCCCCTCTAGCAGCTAGGCAGGGCCCAGAAAGAAGTTTGGAGAAGGCGGGTGGCTCAGCCTGAGACGGGCAGGAATCCAGGTCTCATAATTGACAACCCAGGGTTTCTGGCCTTTCTTGGCCCCTTTCTATCCGCTGATCAGGGCTCCTGCTGGTGGGAGCATGATGGGCTTGTACAAGGGTGAGCCAGTGAAGAACTGGGAGGTAGAGTGAGGAGAGAAGGCCAGAACTGAGAGATGGCTGTAGCAAGGGCCAGCTCTGGGCACAACTGTTACTGATCTGGAAGGTTCTGGAAGGTGTCTGGGCTGGGGGACCCTGAACCCTTCCCTGAGAGCTCAGTGTGCACAGCTTACCCTCATGCTCCTCCACCTCATTTCTCTCCCCCAGCAGGTGACTGTATCCCCAGCCCCTGCCACAATGGTGGGACATGCTTGGAGGAGAAGGAGGGTTTCCGCTGCCTGTGTTTGCCGGGCTATGGGGGGGACCTGTGCGATGTTGGTGAGTGTATTGAAGGGCATGGAGGCAGGTCGAAAGACTGAATCCTACCCCAATATACTAGTCCCCAAGGTAGAGGGAGGTCATTGGTTTGGGCCTTGTCATGAATGAATTGCCCCTTCAAGCAAGTTACATAGTTGGTCTGAATCTAAACTCTTACTATCCCGTCTCTGGAGCAGGGAGGAGGCTAGAAGAAGCTTCTCCAGCATGGAGGGCTGCACAGGCCAGGGCTGGAGAGCCAGCTGACCTAGCCACTGCCCAAGAGCTGAGAGCCCCTGGCTGTACTAGAATGTCTCTGAGCCCTCCCCTCCTACTACTAGCCAACCAGTTGAAGAAGCCAATCTGAGAGCTGGCAGCCTAAGATGCTCCCTCCCCTGTGCTCCAGGCCTTCACTTCTGCAGTCCTGGCTGGGAAGCCTTCCAGGGTGCCTGCTACAAGCATTTTTCCACACGGAGAAGCTGGGAGGAGGCAGAAAGCCAGTGCCGAGTACTAGGTGCGCATCTGACCAGCATCTGCACCCCAGAGGAGCAGGACTTCGTCAACGGTGGGTGAAGCCTGGCTTCCTGCACTCGCTTTGCACCAAGCCCACTCCTCCCTCCTTCCTGTCTCTCTCACTCCCTTTCCCCCCTCCCTTACTCCTGCCTCTCACTCACTGGGAGATGTGCTGTGGGGTGATTGGGCTCCGTGTCCTACGTTTGCAGGGCTGCCTAGACTGCGGGGCTCCCTGTTTTCCCACGTGCCTCTACTTCCTTATCTCTATGGTAACAAGGTTTGCGCTTCCTCTTCCCCTCACCGAGTGCTGTCCTCCATCTGCATGCCCTGCTCCGTGGGGGTGTGGAGGTCACTTAAGAATATAGGGAGGCAGGCTAGAGAGATGACTCATTGGTTAAGAGCACTGGTTGCTTTTCCGAAGGATTCGGAGTTAGATTCCTGGTGCCCACATGACAGCTCACAAGCATCTATAACTCCAATCCCTGAGAATCCGAAGCCCTCCGGCCTCTGCACACAAGTGGCACACAGATATTTATGCAGACGAAACACCCATACACATAAAATTAAAAAAGAATTTAGGGAAAGTCTTTATGATGTTAAATATAGTTATCTTACGGGGGGGGGGGGGAGAGGTGGGGCAGTCCATTGACACTGCTCTCCTGGTAGAGGAGCCTGTTCCTGAGCCAGCAGCCACAAGCCAGCAAGACACAGGGAGCAGGTTTTTGGATGGAATCCCCAAAAGGTCAATCACTGTCCCAGGAACAAGGGACTTAACGCTTACTGCACCTCTGGTTTTTCTCCCCAGATCGCTACCGGGAGTACCAGTGGATTGGACTCAATGACAGGACCATCGAGGGTGACTTCTTGTGGTCAGATGGCGCCCCTCTGGTGAGGACTCATACTGCACTGTAGTCTGCTCACTTCCTGGATGCCCTTCTGCCCTCAGTCACTGTCACTGTCTCTTCCTCCCCTCCTGGCCTCCTCTGTTCCCACTTTCCCCCTGGACCCCTTCTTTCTTGCCCCTGTCCCCTCTGGCTCTTGTCTCCTTCCTGCAAAGCCCCTGCCCCAGTCACCAGACCCCTGTCCTTCCATACCCTGGGACGCCCGAGTCCCTCCTCCAGCTCTTCCAGGGCCTTCCTCCCAGTGTTTGCCGGGTCTTCTCACAGCCTCCTCCGCTCCCCCTTCCCAGCTCTATGAAAACTGGAACCCTGGGCAGCCTGACAGCTACTTCCTGTCTGGGGAGAACTGTGTGGTCATGGTGTGGCATGACCAGGGACAGTGGAGTGATGTGCCCTGCAACTACCACCTCTCCTACACCTGCAAGATGGGGCTTGGTGAGGGCTGGGGAAGGGTGGCTGGGACTGCCACTTATAAAAGGATAGCAAAGCTACCTGAAAGCCCCTCAGGGCGTACCCAGACTGTGGGAGGGTGATGCATTACATTGGCCTCCTAAGATTTTATTTTGTCAGCCACTCCTTCCCTCCCCATCAGATTTCTGGGAACAATCATCCACAGAGCCAGGCTCTCAGCTTCTAATTGTTTGTCCCTTGCAGTGTCCTGTGGACCTCCACCACAGCTGCCCCTGGCTCAAATATTTGGTCGTCCTCGGCTGCGCTACGCGGTGGACACTGTACTACGATATCGGTGCCGAGAGGGGCTGGCCCAGCGCAACCTGCCTTTGATCCGCTGCCAGGAGAATGGGCTATGGGAGGCCCCTCAGATTTCCTGTGTGCCCCGAAGGCCTGTGAGTGACAAGGGGAAACAGATGGGGGCCACCAGCTACTTAGAAGCCCTGGGCTTAAGACCCATCTACCTGTCATTCCCTGACTGTGTGAGCTTAGAGTGGCCACTGCCTCTCTCTGAGGCTAATAGAAGGAAGTGGGCTGGAGGAGCTCTACAGGCTCCTTAGGTGCAGGTGACTGAGAACCTGCAACCACACTTGAGCTCCTAAGGGCAGGGCAAATATTTTGGTAAGGTCGGGAGTTAAATAGCAAGGACTCGGGGTACTGAGGAGCTGAGCGGCAGTCCAGTGTGGAGGGTGAGTATGTGTGTCTTCCCCAGGCCCGTGCTCTGCTTTCAGTGGACACCCCAGAAGGGCCGTAGGGACAGCTCCCAAGGCATGGAAGGCACTGTTGACACCTCTGTCCAGTCTATAGGGAGCCAGCATGGAAGACTGCTGCCCCGTACTGCCCTGTCACTTCGACTGCCTGCCGGTGACATGGGAGGGGAGGGCCTGGAGTTCAAAGGACAGTACCAGGAGGGGTTTCTGGGAAACACTTGGATGGCTCCACCTAGCCTAGGCCCTCTCTCTCAGGTTTTACCCTCAGGACAACGGGTAAGTCCCTAAGTGCCTCAGCTGCTCTGTCATGTCAACTGCCTCCTTGCCCCTCAGTTTCTCTGTGGGACATTGTGCTACTCGTCCTTGATTCTCAGAGGGTTTGCAGAAGGACAGCAAAACCATATGGAAATAAAGTTGTGTGAACCCAAACAAGTTTGATGCTTCTGTATGTGTAGACAGCCAGATGGTGTTGGGCAGAACCCCCGAAGGTAGGTGTAAGTAGGGCCGCTGTGATTGTTAGCTTGCAAAAGGGTCAGAGAAGTCACCAAGAAGTTGGTGGATAGAGCAATGCCTGATGCAAGAGTTCCCCGGCCGGTTGAGAACTCATGACTATGACTACATGTTTCGTATTGGGCGTATTGGGACACCAGCCGAATGAAGAGTCTGGTTTAGGGAGCTTCCTGATGGCTTCATTCTGAGTGCCTCTAGGAACTACTGAAGGGAAGTCTGGGCGTCAGACGGAGAAGCAGGAGGGTGGAAATTAAAAACAAGCTAAGAAGGACCAGAGTCCTCCGCCACGCCAAGGGATTCACAGGCTGTGACCAGTAGAGGGCGCAGCGGACACAGGTATGTGATTCTAGAGGTCATGGTGAATAGGGAGGGGAGAGAGGCCACCAGGGGGCATCGCGGTCTTTCTGTCATGCGGGGACTTGGAATTGCGGGGCAGTTAGGTGCGGGGAGAGCAGGACTTCCGGCTGGCCAGACTGGGCTGGCCCGAGCTGAGTCAGTGGAGGCTGAAGTGATGAGGTCACTGCAAGCTAGGAAGTGGGAGACCGGTGCCTGAACCGGCCAAAGCTCAGTGGACTCCTCAGTGCAGCCTTGCTCGGCTAGAGTGCCTGTTAAAGACAAAATATGGCTGCAGATCTCACACGTGGATCACTCAGCATTGAGTGTCATGTGGACACAATCCTTATGCCCATTGACATACTTGGCGGTTCTTGGTGCTTTTCTAAAAGTCAGCCGACCTGGGAAAAACCAATTGGCAAGGAGACAGACTCAGAATGCTGAGAGTGCCAGGCAGGGGCTTGGGAGGGTGGTGCTGAGGACCTGGGGCTTTCCTGGCCCCTCTCTAAACAAAACAAAACAAAAACACCCATTTCTCAGACCTTACCACCTTCACCATCACCTTCCTTCAATCAGGCCTGGGCTCATCTGCCTGCCCACATAGCCAGCCCAGAGTGGCCTGAGCACAAACTGGGAAGAGAATGAAACTGGGGACAGAGAGGACCCTGCTTTATCCTGTACTGGCCCATGGGATGCATGCTGGAGGCTGTCTGGGCATTTAGCTGGAACTGAGTGGATAGAAACTCAGGTGACCTTTGAGGATGCGCCCTAAGAAGCAGGCAGGAGAAGAGGCAATGTCTGTCCTTCGGGTTCAAAACTCACTGAGGCTGTCTGGATACTATGGTGGATTTGTGGCACCCTGGGCTTCCCAACCTGAGATTCTCATCAAGTCTCCCATAGCATGGATGAGAGTTCCAGAAGTAGATGGAGGATGAGAACAAGAATCCTCTACCACCTGCTGGTCTTCTCTGGCAGAGCAGCAAACAGGAAGCTTTGTCCTGGCTAGGCTGGGCTTCCGGAGGAAGGGAGGATGGGGAGGGGGGAGGAGGGTGTCCTGGGATGACTCAGCAGTGCCCTGCACAGAAGGTAGCTAGCTTGTACCTCAGAAAGAGGTCCCATATGGAGCACCCTGGTAGTCTCTGGAGAGATGAAGTAGGGCCACACCTCCAGTCGCCTAGGCAACACCATCAGGACCCTGACTGTGTGGCCCAGCTCTCTGCCTCCTCCTCATATGAGTGTAAGCAGGGTTCCCAACGGGCTATCTTGTCCTGAGGTTTAGGAGGTATTGGAAAAGAGAAACCACCCTGGACAACAGGTAGGGCTTGAGCATTGCCCAGGGCCTTGGCGCCAATGATTTGGCCTTCTGCCAGGTTCCTGCTGCCTCTGGATGCTCTGACACATTCCACTTCCCAGTTGCTCGCCATCCCCTTGCCTCCTACAGTACTGCCCCAACCTCACTGGGGGCCTTTGTCTGTGGGTCTGACTTCTGTGTGCGAGAGAAAGGGCCCCATTGTCCTGGTGTCCACAGTGACTTAGCAGTTCCCGAAGACTTCTAAAAATGCCCAGCCTGTCAGAGATCTTTTTCAGGCACTGTAGTCAGATCCTGGCCCATGGTGCCTGCCCAGGTGCCCCTTCTCTCGGGGCATGATCCAAGTAGCTCTCCCTCCCCCAGATGGAGGTCTTCGCTGAGCTCTGAATTCTATCTGGCTTATTGCAAAATCGCCAGCTTCCTCCTGGGCAGAATAAGTGTTACATTTAGGGACAGAGCTTGAGGAAAGGCTGGGAAAGAGAACCGAGTAGGCTGTGAAGACACTGTCTGTTCTGATAAATCTCAAGGGGGAAGCTTGCATGAGGGACCTTGGTGGATTCCGTGGCGGGCAACTGGCACATGGAGTTTAAGTGAGAAGTTTCTAAAGGGGGGGGGGGAAGAAAAGAGAAAAGGTAAAGTGACACAGGGGACAGGAGAGAAGAGGGAGACGGGGGGGGGGGGGGGGAGGGGAGTCCTGTCTGCCCCAGGGGAACAGCGGGAAAGGGGGGGAGAGCTTAAGTAAGCGGGTCTTTCTTTTGAAGGGGTCCTTTGCACCTGAGTGCAGACTAGGCTGACCAGGCCACTGCTTCAGTACCTTCCACCAGGTGACAGGGACAAGGCCAGCATAATGCCTGAGTCCTTACAGTCTCACTAAGCCAATGGCTAACTGGGTGGATCCCAAGCCTCCAGGTACCCAGATGGCTCTGTCTTGGTGTTTAGGTTGATTGTTAACAGGGAGAAGAGTATTGACCACTTAAGATGGTACTAAACACTCATATTTAAAACTCAACGTGAGGCAGCCTGGCTGACATTCTGCTGATCCCAAGTGGCATCTGGAGACACTACATCATTGACAAAATGTGTCACTCTATACCTCCATTTCTCCATTACAGTCTGCTGAAGTTCCCTCTAAGGTGCCTGGAACTCAGAGCAATCCTGGGGAGACAGCAATTCTAGAAGGCTGGGGAGGAGGGAAAGAGGGTGGAAGGGATTCCCGAAAAGTGAGTGAGGCTTCCATTAATGGGAACAAAGGGCCCCAGAGAACCCAGGGGGAGTCCAGGGCTAACCCTTCCTGGGGCCCAGGGCCAACAGATTGTGAGCAGCTGAACCCACAGCAGGGAGGGGGTTCCTCGACAGAGGCCTCCTGGCACCTGCCTCAGTTTATTTATGGAGCCACAGCTGAGTCCTAAGGGTGGGGAGGGAGGGTGGAGCTGGGGAGGGAGTTCATCTGGGCTGAAGGAAGAGATCGAAGAGGAAAGAAGTTGGCACTGTGACCCGGGGTTCAGACACCTGGGACATACCTATCCTTTTAGGGCAGGGCATACAGAAGGGCAGTTGGGTTATAAGAGGGACATTGACATTGGAGCGCCTGGGCACCAGGCCTGGAGAGGGCTGAGACAAGATGCAGGTCAGCCACTCCTGAAATGCTGGCCGGTGCTGCATTGTTGACTTAGAAGGTGCGGGGGTGGGGTGGGGGGGGGAGAGGGTTCAGGCTGAAGGAAGCAGGGGCCTAGGAGAGGAGACACCTTTTCCTTTGCCTGCCAGGGCAGACTGCTGGGACCTCACTGTGCTTTCCCTCTGCCCCTGAGCCAGGCTATGTCCATGGTTCTACAGCCTCATGCTCTAGTGTGATCCTGGGGTGGGGGTGGGGGCTCAGGGACAGCTGCTGGCAACCTTTCTTCACTACCGGTACCAGGGAGAAACGGCTCTTCCTCCTCCCAGGGGGACGCAAGTCTAGCTTCCAACCATCCTGTGGCCCATCCTAGAATTTAGCCCTCCCCTGAGAGGTGGGATGGGGTACAATAGGAACTCACTAGGGAACCTGTCCCTAAGCCAGAGTCTAATTGGACTTTCTGGGCTCGGTGGGCTCCCCTCCCAGGGAAGTACAGACAGCACATTCCAGACAAAATGAAATCACATTCCTTCATCCCTCATCAGAGAGGGTAGCATGACTGGCAGCAGCTGCAACAGCACAGGTCAAGTGGCAGCAGCTGGTGTCCCAGGGTGAGGCTGGGGTGTGGGCTGTGGGCAGCATAGGAATGGAGAGGGGGATTTCTTTCAGACAATGAATGAATGCCAATTATTTGACCCAGAGGCCGAGGGTGATGTCATTCAGGTCAGAACTGTTTGGAGCCTCGAGGAAGGATTCAGTTCCCCCAGTACTTTACAGGTGGAAAAGCCCAGGCTCTGCGGGGGGGGGGAGGGGTCCAGGGGCTCAAGATCAACTTCTGAGAGCCCCGCCCAGAATGTGCTCAGAGCAGGAAGGCAGAGGGAGCGTTTTAAGAGGCCACAATCAGAGCGGCTTTGGCTGTGTCACAAAGCCTAGGCTTTGATTTCCTTGGAGACTCCGGCAGCTACAGGGACAGCAGCAGGCTGGGCCGGAGGGAGCCTCTGCCCCTGACCTCACCCTTGGAGGCGCCTCAGCCTGCACAGCCTTATAAGGAAGTGCCCCAAACAAACCGAGGAAGCCACCTCCGCCCGACACCCCCCCCCCAGCCTGTCTCCGGCTAGCTCAGAGGCTATATTTACCAGAGGAGGCCCCAGAATAACCTCCCGCTGCCTCATGCTGTGTGTGTGTGTTGGGGAATGTTTCCTCCCTTGCCCCCTCCTCATTCTCTTCTGAGGGGATGATGCTCCATCCTTAGCAGTGTGTCCTGCTAGCACATTCACTCTGTACTCAGGACTTCCAGGCACCAACAGACCTTGCTTCCCTGAAGGACTTTGATGCCCTTGTTCTGGTTTTGTCCTCTTGGGCCATTTGGTCGGCCTTCTGCAGGGCCCTCTTCTCCTTCCCAGGGTCTCAGTGGGCCTGCTGAGATTGCAACTCTCGTCCTTGCTTGGTCCTGAGTCCTGAATCCCAAGCATACCCTCTGGCCCGGCCAGTCCCAAGGCATCTCTGTCTTGGAAATGGCATCCCCACATCCAGTGTTTGAACCAGCCCTGAGTCGTGCTGTCCTGCGCTCGCTCCCAGTCTCTCACACCGCTCCTGAGACTTCCCTTTGTGCCCCCCCCCCCCCGTGTCTTACTATTGTCCTTTCCCACCCCCTGTCCCGTGTGCTGGCCTGCGCCTGCACCACTAACAGACTCTGGGGCCTGTTCCTGCTCAGCCTGCTCTCAGGAAGCGGAAGTCCTGGAGGTGGCACCTGTGCACAAACCTTTCAGGAGCACCCATTTCTCTTAGGAAGAGTCCATGCTTCCTGGCTTTTTGGTGAGGACTTTGCCAGCAGCCAGGGCTTCCTGCCATCTTCCCAAGGCCTTCTCCCCACTCTCTTCCCTTCCCACCACTCTGTCTGCTTTCTGTCTTCCACTACCCCAGATCTCTTCCATCCTAGGTACTATTGTTTCCTCCCCTCCCCCACACACGGTATTCTCCCCAGCACTGGCCACTCAGGGCAGCCTGCCCTCCTCTGTGCCCATGCCCAGCATGTGTCGGTGTCCAGAGACAATTTCAGCTTGACAGCCTTTGTTCCAGAACTGCTAAAGCTTCCCATGCAAAAAGCTGTGTTGTAAGTTGTCAGTGATCTCAGAGCCTGCACAGCGTAGATGGCCAGTACATGACAATTTACTGATGATCACCACCAGGGTGTCCCCGTCACTGTCCAGCTCTTGCCTCCCTTGCTGTTGGACACAGAACCATTTCCCTACAGGCCATGCTTCCTGCAGTGTATATACCCCCATAGAGAAGCCCTCACTTCTATCTAACTTGCATCCTGACCCCTTTGTAGAGTTACTAGCAGCAGTGGCCAGTTGGGACAACCATCAAGGATCATAAGCTTGTGAGGGTACAGGACAGGGATCTGGTACAGGGCAGGGCTAGCTGGCTTAGCTGGCTTTGGTGTTCACCCAAGCAGTGGTACCCAAGGGCCTGGAGAGAAGCACAGGATGTCTTGTCCCATTAGAGCGACAGGCTTTGTCTGCCTATTGCCAGCATGCTGATCTCTGCCCTGTCAGCTGGCAAACCAGACAGGAGAACCTTGTTATTAGCGTACAGGAAGGAGGGAGCGGAGGCTTGGGCTGCCAGGAGGGTGGGGTAGGAGAATCAGGATCCTGGACCCCCAGGGCAAGGGTGTGAATGAGATGGTCCCTGGAACCAGAACAAGGATTTGAGGGTTGTATACAGAGGAGCCCACAGTGCCAGTTGGCTAGGACAGCCTTTGTCTGTCCTCCTAAGGAACTCTTGATCTTAAGGAGAGAAGGAAGGAGCCTTGCTCTGGGCTTGACAGTGTCTGTGTGGGGCAGCCAGTGTCACCCTCATCACAGTATCTAGATAACATCTGTGCACTGATTTCCTCCTTGCAGAGGTAACTGACAGGTACTTTCTGTTTGGGTATCCCAGCTTTGAGGCTTGTGGGTGCCTCCCTGCACAGATGCCGAGAGAGAAGCCTACCGGCAGAGCTTGCTTCTGAGCCAACCCCAGTATTGCAGTGTGCTGAACACTCCAAGCTCTCACCTGGACAGCCCCTCACATTCCCCTGGCCCTGCTATCTCTCTCCCTGTCCCCTGCTTTAGTGTGTTAGGGAAATGCCAGTGGGGACTTCCACTGTGAATATAGAGGCTCCCCCTGGCCTCTCTCCTGTTCTCCCAGACCCAGCTTCCCCTCATGTGTGACTGGGTCTGGAGTTCAGAGAAGCTGTTGACTGCACAGCCAGACTAAAGCCTCTCTCCTCCCTCCCTAACTCCAACCTAGTCAGTCATCAGACTAGACAACTGTTTAGGTTTAGGAACCAGGGGGCCAATTATGCTGGAGACACCGAGGGGCTGGTTAGGGCTTCCAGTGGGGAGGGCCCTGTAATCAGTGCTGTGGGTGGAGATGACACCCTGGCCTCCCCCACAAGCAGCCCCTCCACGCCATTGCTTCTCAACCAGGAGGACACCCTGAAAACTAGAAGGAAGCAGCCAGACTTTATAGGGAGGAAATACAACTTTATTCAAACAAGGAAGAGCAGAACAAGATCTCAGCAGGCTGAGATGAGGGGTCAGTCATAATTGCTGCCCTCAGCTCCTCTGGGCATAGGCCAGACCAGACCTGGTGAAGATGGCACCACTGTAGACAGGTTAGGGCTAACAACACCTGGCTAGAGCAGCCCCATGGGAAAGCTCTGAGCCCAGGCTTCTTCCAGCAGGAGAGATGCAAAAGAAAGGGGGCCTAGAACTATAGGGGCTCGGCTGGCTTGAGTCTTCAGGACAATCTAAGCAAGATGGCCCTGACAGAACCTCATCTCTCTCAGCCAGTCACACCTCTACAGGACAGACACCATAGGTCAAGCTATCAAAAGCTGAGGATGCTGGTCCAGAGCAGGAAGGAACATCCTCCCACCATTAAGCATCTCTCTAGTCTTCCCCTGAGGACCAGGAATCTCCATCTACTCCACTCAGAGGGAACTCCAGGGACTGGCTTGGGCCTCGGTGCACAGGAGACCCTACCAATGGGGCTTTTAAGGCACTCGCTTCCTGTTCCTGTGAAGAGTGTCCTTGATCCTGGTGCCCATCAAGGACTCCCTGCCCCTCAGACTGCTCTAATCCATTCTCCACCTTCCCATTCATGTGCTCTGACTCCAAGCTGGGGCCCTGGCCACTGACACCAAAGGTGTCTCCTGCCCCTGGGATCATGTTAGTCACCCCCTGGGCACCCAAATGGTCAGGGACTTGATCCTCCCCTTCTGAGGACACAGACTCAGACCCCTCAGACCCAGAAGGCTCAGTACTGTCCTGAGACTCAGTTTCCAGGCCAGTCACAGAGATATTAGCTGCAGCACCTCTCAAGCCACTGACACCCACAGATTCATGTTCCAGGAGGTCCCCGCTTTTGGTGATGTGCTGGACCTTGAAGTCTCCACCAGAGTGTCCCGGCCCCCACCATTGAGCCCCTGACTCAGCCTCTTCCTCATGCTCTTCTTCCTCTCCCTCTTCCCCACTCTCTTCCTCATCAGCAAACCCATCAGACTCCCCACCCTGATCCCAGCATTCAGGCGCTGGTACTGGGGGCGCCTGGCCCAGATGATCTGCCACCTCCTTGGGGACCCCTGGAAGAAGAGAGGCCTCAGTCGCTAGATCCTCAAATTCCTCAGATGATAGGTCCGAGCCACGGCCTTGCTCCTCCTCCCCTGGTGGGTTGCTGAAGCCCTGGGAAGCCAGGGCAGCAGGACCCCAGCCTTCCTTCCTGGCCTCCCCTTGAGGAGAGAGCCTCTGCTCTCCAGCCAGGCCCCACTTTGGGGAGGTAGGGGACCTCAAGTAGAGGCCCAGGGGCGTAGAGTCAGGGAGAGTTTCCCCTAACTCATCAGCCTCACTTTCTTCTCTGCTCTCCTCCCAATCTTGGAGGCCCTCGGGGATCTCCCTAAGACCAAACTCTTGCTCATCTTCGACCCTTCCCTGTGCTTCACACCCACCCTCTAGCTGCCACCCAGCTTCCTGGATCCCCTCAGCCTGGGGCTGCAGTTCATAGGCATCTTCCAGGATTGGGGTGGGTGGACAGGGCTCGATGAGCTTGGGACTAGGAGGTGACAGTGCTCCCTCTGTCTCTGAGGGTCTGGGCTGAGGGGCATCAGTGCCCTCGTGGTCTGAGGCCTCCACTGAAGCTTCCTCTACTGCCCATCCCACCACAGGCTCTGACTCCTTGCAGCCTTTGGATTCCAGAGCATCACTGCTAGTCCTGGACAATTCAGAGATCACTGACGCCAGAGCACCTGCCTCCTCTGGTACTTTTCCAGGCCCTTCCAAGTCCTGAGCTATCTTTGCCTCCACACTTTCCTCCCCCAGGGATGGGTGAATGGCCTCCTCCCCGGCCAGGTGCCTTGGCTCTCCTAACCCTACCACTTCCTGCTCCAGTCCCAGCCCAGCGGTAGCAGCCTTTGAGCCCAGGGTGACCTCTATGTAGTCTTGTTCACCTGCTTGGACTGCATCCTCATGTTGCAACAGGGGCTCTGTCACCTCTGACGCTCCCTGAGCAGCTAGGACCTCCAGGGCCCCCATCTGCTCTGGTTGTCCCTCCAGGTCTTGGAGGGTCACAGCACCCCCTTTTCTGTCACCTTCTTCACTAGGGACCCCCTGCTCCTGGGGCTCAGAGCCCCCCATGCTGCAGGCCTCCCCCATGACATCTAGTTGAAGCTCCTTCTCCTCAGCATCGTCTTCCTTCTCACTTTGCCCACTCAGGGGGAGCTCTGCCTCATCCTCACTTTCTACTCCTGTCCGCCCTAGGGCCCTAGGGCCCTGATCAACCACTGCATTCTCCACTGCCATAGCCTCCCACCTTTGTTGATTTCCAGACCCAGGCAGCTCCTGTTCCACCTCTTCCAGAGACCTCGGTGATCCCTCGTGTTCTTCCATCTCTCGGCATGCTTCCAGTTCAAGGTGTTGCCTGCCCTCCTCCACCCCTTCTGGAGATTCCACAGTCTCCAGACATCCCAACTCTTGATTGTCCCTTGCAAGGGGTCTCAGGATCTCTTGGTCCCCATCCACAAACCCCAGTGATTCCTGAATTTCTTTTTCTAGGAGTTCCGTTGCCTCTCCAGTCACTTGTGCAGACCACAGAGGCTCTTGAGCCTCTACAGAGTTGATTATTTCCAGGTCTTCTTTTGCATTCTCCAGTGGTTCCATGTTCTCGATTTCTGAAGACTTCACTGTCTCCACACTTGTTTCTTTCAGTGACACCAGTGACTCTTGGTTCTGTTCTTCAAGAGATCTAACTATTTCCTGGTCATTCCCAAGAGGCTTCAGTAACTCTGGACCCAACTTTTCTGGTGGCTTTGATGCCATCTGCTCACCCCCGAGAGCCCATACTGTCTGTTGAGTCTCTTGTTGAAGAGATCTCTGTATCTCCTGGTCCTGCTCTTTGGGAGATTGCAGGGAATCTGGATCCTCTTTCCCCAGAGATCTAAAGGCTTCCTGGTCCTCCTCAAGAGACTTCCCTGAGTCCTGACTCTCTTTTTCTAGCAGGCTCTCAGTCATCTGGTCCTTCTCTACAGAACTCAGTGGTTCATGGTTCTCTCTTTCTAGAGACCTCTTGACTACCTGCTCTTCTTCTAGAGACCCCAGGAAGCCCTGGTTTTCTTTTTCGAGCTGTTCCACAATCCCCTGGCCCTCCTCTTCTAGAAACCTCTGTGGATCCTGGGTCTCCTGGTTTCTATCTTCATGAGACCCCAGGTACTCCTGGTTCCATTTTTTTAACAGGCTCTCAGTCATCTGGTCATTGTCTTCTAGAGACCTCAGTAGGTCCACATTCTCTTTTTCTAGAGACCCGATGGAGTCCTGGCTCACTTTTTCTAGAGGTTTCACAATTCTCTGCTCCTCTTCTACTTCTAGAGATTTCAGTGGCTTCTGGTTCTTGCTTTCTAGTGGCATAATGGTGTACTGGTTTTCATCAAGAGACCTTAGAGATTCCTGATTCTCTCTTTCTAGAGGTTTCACAATCCTTTGGTTCTCCTCTTCTAGAGAGCTCAGGGACTCCTCACCCTCCTTTTCTATCAGCCTCTCAACCCTCTGGACCCCTTCTTCTACAGACTTTAGCGGCTCCCCATTCTCTTTCTCCAAAGGTCTATATGTGTCCTGGTCCTCCTCCTCCAGAGAGCTCAGGGACTCCTCACCCTCCTTTTCTATCAGCCTCTCAACCCTCTGGACCCCTTCTTCTGCAGACTTTAGCGGCTCCCCATTCTCTTTCTCCAAAGGTCTATATGTGTCCTGGTCCTCCTCCTCCAGAGAGCTCAGGGACTCCTCACCCTCCTTTTCTATCAGCCTCTCAACCCTCTGGTCCTCTTCTTCTACAGACTTTAGCGGCTCCCCATTCTCTTTCTCCAAAGGTCTATAGGTGTCCTGGTCCTCCTCTTCCAGAGAGCTCAGGAACTCCTCACCCTCCTTTTCTATCAGCCTCTCAACCCTCTGGACCCCTTCTTCTGCAGACTTTAGCGGCTCCCCATTCTCTTTCTCCAAAGGTCTATATGTGTCCTGGTCCTCCTCTTCCAGAGAGCTCAGGGACTCCTCACCCTCCTTTTCTATCAGCCTCTCAACCCTCTGGATCTCTTCTTCTACAGACTTTAGCGGCTCTCCATTCTCTTTCTCCAAAGGTCTATATGTGTCCTGGTCCTCCTCCTCCAGAGAGCTCAGGGACTGCAGACCCTCATTTTCTATCAGCTTCTCAACCAGCTTGTCCTCTTCTTCTGGACATCCCAGTGGATGCTGGCTCTCCTTTGTAAAAGCTGTCAGTGACTCTAAGTTCGCCTCTTCTGAAGACCTCACTGCTTCTTGATCTTCCTTTCCTATAAATGAAAGTGTCTCTAGTGTACCTTCAGGAGACATTAATTCTTGATCCTCGATTCTTGGGTCTTCTTTTCCTAAAGGCTTAGACAGTTCAGGAACCCCCTTTTCTGGAATTTTCTCTACCTCTACATCATTTTCTTCTAAAGACTTGAGTAGTGTTTGTTTTTCTTCTTCTGGGCTTTTCAGTGTTCCCTGGTTCTCATCTACAGATCTCAGAGAATTACAATTTTCCTTCCCAGGGGTCTCATGGCTCTGGATTTTCAGAGATATAAGTGACTCCTGTCCTAGAGCCTCTAGGATTTCCTTTTGTAAAGGACCCTGGGAATCCTGGATTTCTTCCATGTCCAGACCATCTTCTTGTGTTTCCTGTGCCAAGCTGCTCTCTACTTTTACCTCTATGGCAGCTTCTTTCTCTACTAGCTCCCAGATTTGCCCTTCATCTTCCTGGAATATGCTAGGTACTCTAGACTCATTGTAGTTTCCATCTTTAGCTTCTAAAACAGGGTGATGAGGATTGAGGGATAGGGCTGAGGTGGTCGAATCCTCAGGGAAGTGGCTTGGGTGCTTGCCTCCAGTCTCCTCTAGTTCCGTGAGGATACCAGTGGAAACAGATGCTGTGGCTTCGGCCCGGAGAGGCTCTGGAGCCTGCTGCCTTCCACCCTGTGTCTGGAGCAGGGAAAGAGGGGCATCCTGGGCTCTGACCTCTACTTTTGTAGGACAGGGAACCTCAGGCATGGGTGGGATAGGTGTGCTGGCCAAGGTGGGGGTTCGAGCCTGAAGGAATTCCTGGGTCTTCAGAAAGGCTGTCACAGGCGTCTCGAGGGCATCAGGCAAGGGGGAAGGGAGGGGTGTTGGGCTGAGGACAGGGAGCAGAGATCCCAGGTGCTGGTTGTCTGCTGTCCCAAGGAAATGAAGCTTCAGCTTGGGGTCTGGAAGAGCAGAGTAAGAAACACTGTAAGTGTGTCCTGACCTCACCATAGAGCAGCCCTCACCCTGGCCAGAGTATACCAGCTATTTTCTCTGATCCCGACTGGCTAGACTGAGAACATCAGTATGGTTGGAGCCACACAGAAAAGATTTAGATTGATTGGTGATTGGTACTGCTTAGGAAAGATATTTTAAGAGTAAAAGATGGTGTTTCCAGGAGCAGCTGGCTCCTCCTCTTACCCTGAAAACCAAGGGAAGCCTGGGAACTTCGGCCAGGTGTCTGAAACCGGGAATTCTCAGCCTCCAGCAGAGTCCTGGTAGAGAGAAGGGGAAATGGGGTCAGCCCTAGCTGAGGTGACTTGTCCTGACGCTGCAGACTCATTCCCTACTATGACCATTGTCATACAATAGCCACAGTCAGTCAGATACCCACAGCTACCGTATACTTGGCCACACCCATATTTGAGATACAGGGAGACCCCACAAGCAGATTCCCACAGTCAGAACAGAGCCAAGTGAATTGCTAATGCTTAGATCAGACTCCTCAGATCAGTCTCCGCCTTCCCACCCAAGGCCAAGGCCGATGACCTCATCCTCTAGGAAGGAGGCCGATTCTCATGCTAATTACTGCCTTTTGTCTACACGACCATCTGGAGGGCTTGAGAATGGGGGCTTCTAAGGGGAAGTGGGAATTCTCAGGCTGTTCCCATGGGATGGCTCCCTCCTCTGCCCCCAGAGCTGGTGACAGACAAAAGCAAACGAATTCAGCTCCCCCTCTCCAAATCCTTTTCAGATCTCAAACACCAGTAGTTACATTTCTCTGAGCTGCCTGGACCCTTCCCCTCAGAGGGTTGACTGGGTTAAGGCCCTCAAACCTTTTAGGGCAGAGGTCTTCAGATTCATGGCCCTGTCTTGGTGGCCTGTGGAGCTGATTGGAGGAGAGATCAATTCCCAAGGGATTCTGAGCTAATCTCTTGTTTCTGTCCATGACCTTTCCTCTGTCCTCATGTAGCACCCAGCCTTGTGCATTGGGTCCTTAAATTCTCACTGGCTTTCCTTCTCTGGGCCCAATCTCTACCTCCTCTTTGCCAGTGGATTCTGGAGAAGAGGAACATCCTGCCCTGGCCCTGTACTCAGGAGTGATATCCCAGGCCTCAGCAGTGGGGCTCTCAGCTGGGGTCTTGCCCCATAACAGACACATATGGAGACTATAACAACAGAGCTAGTCCACTCAGCCTTCCTGATGCAACCAAAAAAAAAAAAAAAAAAAGATAGGATAGAGAGCTGGGCCAGGGACTCTAGGAGCCCAGCTCCTACTCTAGACATAGCTAGGCTAGGTCAGATGGTAGGTCATCATAACCAGAGACACCTGCAAGGTCTCGTGTTGGCACAGAAACTGTAGATACTGCCTGCCTTTGAGAGAAGTCAGATGCAGATGCCTGTGCCCTCCATTCTCCCTGAAGACATTACAGCCTCACCTCTTATGGTCCTGAGCTCAAGGGGCAGCAGGTGGGCTCAAGTGACAGCTGAGATGGCTGGTGAGATAGCACTCAGTGGGACAAAGGACCTGTCTGTCACCAAGCCAGACAGCAACCTCCATCACAAACAAATAAATACACATTATAAAAATTTTAAGTGACACTGAGGGCTGGATGAACCAACGGCTGAGGGTCACAGAAAGTACAAAGTCAAGTCCCTGGGCCCTTCAGGCGAGGAGTCAGCCCTGGGTGTGCATCTGTGTACCTGTATGTAGCCACCTCCAGGCTAAGGGACATCTTGAGGTGTGCCAGTTGCTGCCCCCCTTCCAGGATCTGAGCGATCTGGCTCTGTAGGCCCTGTTTCTCCTGCTCCAGGCCTTCCACAGCCAGCTGCAAAGCAAGCCAGAGAGTGAGCAGAAGGGGCCTCCACTCTGGGTCCTGACCCTTTCGGGTCTCTGATGACTTATTTGTAGGGCAGACTCCTGTTCCTCTACCTACACCCTTCCGCCCAGAGCACTGCACTAGAGCCAGCAGATACCAGGGAACCCTCTACCCTCTCCTAGACCAGGCTTCCCTTGAGGATGCTGACTAAATGGTAGCACATGTTGTTGAGAATCCAGCTCCCATGGGAGGGATTGGGGCAGAGGAGAGGAGATGGGTTACAGAGAGGAAGAGAGGTAAAGCAAAAACAGAAGGAAAAACAATTTATCAAGAGTCAGCTTGGAAGGAAAACAGTTGGGCCCGCACTGTCCCCTGCTCCTCATTGCAGGCCTGGTTCCTCCACTTCCCACATGTTCTGGAATCTTTCTCCTCCAAGAGGAGTGGGAAGGTGGCCATGTTGAGGCTTCTGTCTGGACCAAGCAAGAGGCTGTTTTCTCAGCTGTTGGTCACATCTGTGCGGTATGAGGGGGAGGGTGGCCCAGGCCTTTGGAATGTGTTCCAGGGAGCTAAGTCATGACACTGAGAGAGGCTGATGGTCAGTGGCGGCTCACCCCGCCGCCTTCCTTCACCTTGGTTGCTAGGGACCTTCTGGCGCTGTGGGAGCATGTGCTTGGAACCTTCTGATTGACAATAGCATAGGGAAGGACACAAGGAGCCATCCTAAGGGGAAGCTGCCATTCAAAGAGTGATGAGCTGCTACAACAGGCCTTGGCCTGCAGGCCTTACAAGTGGGCTATGGCCACGAGGTTTCAGAATTTCCTCCTCCCTGCCTGGACGGCAAAGTCTAGAACCTGTGCGTTCTGGGCAGGGACTCCTGATTACAGCTGACCTTACCCTTGCCCCACTCCCTTCCTGAAGGTCTCTTGGCATCCTAAGCACTTCCTAGGGCCTGGTCTTAGTCGGGTCGGTGACCTCCTCACCTGGAACTTTTCAGTGGCCTGCAGCCTGTCCTGCCAGCGGTCCTCCAACCTCTGTTCCAGGGCCTCTCTGCGCTCCTGGAGGCCGTCGCGTTCAGCCTGCAGCTGCTGCAGCTCTAGGCGACCCTCCCGAGCGCCCCGCAAGGCTCGGCCCAGGCGCTCGCGGGCTTGGCCCAGCGAGCTCTCCATGCGAGCCACGCGCTCCTGATAGTCCCGCACCGCCCCGCGCCACGCTTCACCCAGCCGTCGGGCCAGCTCCTCCACCTCGGGGACCGGTGCCGGGGGTCCGCGGGGCGGCGCGGGGAGCCGGCGGGACGCACCGGCGGCGGCCTGTGCGTTCAGGTGCGCGCGCTCTTCCTCATGCGCCGCTCGCACAGCCTCTACCTCGCGCTCCAGCTCGGCCACCCGGGTGCTGAGCCAGCCCTGCGCACTCTTCTCCGCCTCGAGTGCGCGCCGGCTGCAGGCCGCCTCCTCGCGGGTCCGCTCCCGGGCGAGCCGCACCTGCTGGCACCGGCCTGCCACGCCCTCCAGCTCCTCAGCAAGGTTGTCGCGCTGCACCTCAGCCTCGTGCTTCTCCCGCCAGCGCTGGTCGACGAGGACCCGCAGGGCTGCCAGTTCGTCGTCGGCTCGGGCCCGCCAGGAGGCATCCCCGGACTGCGCCCGGAGTCCCCCAAGCTCCGCGCTGAGCAGCTGGTTCTGCTCTTCCAGCGTCTTGACCCGGGTCAGGTAGGCCTCCAGGCGTCGATTGAGCTCCCACAGCTGGAAGGATTCCTCCCCGACGCAACCCTCCATGTCGCTAGCCTGGCCCACCGAGGGCGGGCGAATGTACAGAACTGGAGAAGGGAGCGGCCTTCGGAGCTCTTAGGGGAGAGAAAAAGTAGCGGCGACAGTGACCCAGCGGAAGCGAGGACTCCAGCCGGGAGCAGGAGCAAGGGTATTCATACTCCCGCCAGCCGGGCGGGAAAGGGGCGGTACCCAGGCCTTAACCCTTTAGGGTTCAGTGCAACACTCAGCCCGAGTCCCTGCTTCAGTGGGGTGCATGAGAGTGGAACCAAAGGGGCCGCCCGGCCCCTGAGAGATCCAGCCCGAAGCCGGTGATATCCTGAGGGAGGCCCGAGGAAGTCAGACCCCGTCCTTGAACACCCTAAGAAACACAGAACTGGGCTTGCGCACCTCTTTTTTCCACACACCCTTGCTCAAATCCTCTGAGATGCAGCTTCTCGTCTATACAACGACTTGGTGTTGGAAACCTCGTGAACTGTTGGGGGGGGGCGGACAATGCAGTGTTTTGTGTAAAACAGTGAACACTCACCCCCCGAGGGAGGCAACATTGCAGAGAGGCATTGCCCAAAGCAGGAAAAACCCACTGGTACTAGGAGAAATCTGCTGCTGCTCCAGAGGCTGAGGTAGGACTGAGGCCAGCCTGGACCATAGACACACACACCCCCTTTAAAAAAAAAAAAAAAAAAAAAAAAAAAGATGGTCGGTCTCGCTCTGTAGATCAGGCTGGTCTTTTTAACTACGGAGATCTTCCTGCCTTAGCCTCCCTAATGGCCTGCTCCAGCACCCCTAGCCAGCTAGCCCAGATGATAACAGACACAATGCCCAATTCGTACCCGCACAGGTACATCCTTCCCCTACATCAGGAAAAAGAGGATGGCAAAGGACGTCAAAGGCTCAAGAAAGTTTTTGCCATTGTCGTCCTTACAATTGTCATTTTCCCAGCTAGGAAGTTACGAAACTCTCAAGAGAGCCCCCTGGTGGCTAACAACGAAGTCTGGCATAAACGGAAATGAAGATAATGAACTTAATTACAAGGGACCCTTAGGCTCAAATGTTTGAACTCTTGGTCCCCAGTTGGTAGACCTGTTTGAGAAGGGTTGGGAGGTGTGGTCTTGTTGGAGGAGGTGTGTCACTGGGGGCTGGCGAGAGATTGAGGTTAGCGCTCTCTCTCGCTCTCGTTCTCTCGCTCTCTTGCTCTGGCTCTCTCGCTCTCTCGCTTGCTCTCGCTCTCTGCCTTGTGTTTGTGGATTGAGATGTGTGCCCTCAGCTATGGCCCCAGTGCCCTGCCAGCCTGCCTGCTGCCATGTCCCCTGCCATGATGTTCAGGACCCACGTGAAGAGAACGGACTCCCACAAGCCCTCTGGCCTCTACATGCATACTGTGGTATGTATGAACCTTGTACATACACACACAGAATAAGGAATGTAAGGGCTGGAGTGATGCCTCCGTTGTTAAAAGTACTTGCTGCTCTTCCAGAGGACTCAAGTTCAGTTCCCAGCACCTTCATCCAGCTTTAGGGGTATCAAAGGCCTGTGACTTCTGCATGCATCCACATGAATGTGCACATACCCATGGATCGACTCTGAAAGTGCTGAAGATGTTCTGCCATGGTCCTAAAGTATCAAATGTTCAGCCAAGACTTAACTCTTTATGTTTCAGGCTTTCTTTGGGTTCACCAACTGGCTCCCAAATCATGACATGACACAGAGACTTATTATTAGTTATGAATGTTTGGTCTTAGTTTATGCTCATTTCTGGCTAGCTTTTTTTCTTTGGCTTAAATTAACCTGTTTCTCTTCATGTACATTTTGCTTTTTACCTTTCTTTCATTTTGTATGTCCTACTCTGTGTCTAGCTAGCTGGTGGCTGCCTGGCTGGCTGACCCCAGGCATCTCCCTCTGATGGGAGATGTCATTCTGTAAATATGTTTCTCATACTGATTAATGAATAAAGCACTGTTGGCCAATAGGAAAGTAAGATAGGCATAACTAGGAGACAAGGAGGAAAGAGGAAGTAGTAGGGAGGAGTCAAGATGGAGAGTCTGGAGATAGCAGGACACCAGCCAGCTCTCCGGTAAGATGAGACCACGTGGAAATACATAGATTAACAAAAATGGGCTAATACTTAAGATAAAGCTAGCCAATAAAAAACTGGCCAACAGCATTTATATCTAATACAGAGTCTCTCTGTGTTAATTGGGGCTGGTGCAGCGAAGGGACAAGACCAGCAGCGGGCAATCTTTGTGTTGGAATGGATTTTCATTTATTGATACAAATTTAAGGTCAATTTTGTGATAAGTATATTTCTCCTCTTGTTTAGGTATTGTGTTTATATATCTCATTTTAAAATGTAATGTATAATTTAGTACAGATTTTAGATAGTTACCTATAATAGTCAAAACTTATAGCTAGATGAGTTAGGTTTTCTAGATATACAGAGATGTATTTGAGATAAATAGGAATTCTTCAAACCTTTTAAAGACCTACAGAATATGGCATTTAAAATGGTTTAGGGTTTTTCTTAATAGTGAGGCACAACTGCTCCTGGCAACACCACCTGCATCAGAAAGGATGATGGACATTGAAGAAACACATTATGGAGTTTACTTCCAATGTGGCAAGACTAGCCATTTGAACAAGATACTGCTCTTGTCTGGACTGTTTGACTTTGTGCTGTATAAACTGGACATGCAAGACCCACAGAAAAGTGAGTGCTGAAACAAGATGGACATTGCTACAACGGTCCTGCTTCATGGAAGAGTCTGCCAGACAGTCTGCAGGATATAGAGAAAAGTGACTGACAAACTGCCAATACAAGAAGACAGTTTAAAGTTTCCTACTTTGCTGAAGAGTCTGCCAGACACACTATGGCCTATGGGCTGAAGATGGAAGATTACAGAAGAACTTCAGGTGCCTGACCAGGCAGTGAGTTGTCTCTGTTATTTCTAGAGTTTATATACAACTTTCTATGGTCTTTGAAGGAGTTAAAGACAGATGGTTATGGTTATAGTTTTCCTTAGTTAGGATTAAAGATAAGTTACATATAGGATTTTTGACTCACAAAGATAGAATAGATGATGGAATATTTTCTTAAATCTTACTAAATGTTAATGGACTAAATATTGTTAACTGTGATTCTTATTTGATAACTGTTGTGTGATATGTTTTGCTATGTTAAGGTTAAAACCCTTCTTTTTATTTAGACAAAAAAGAGGAGATGATGGGAGATGTCATTCTGTAAATATGCTTCTCATACTGATTAATGAATAAAGCACTGTTGGCCAATAGGAAAGCAAGATAGGTGGGACTAGGAGACAAGGAGGAAAGAGGAAGTAGTAGGGAGGAGTCAAGATGGAGAGTCTGGAGATAGCAGGACGCCAGCCAGTCTCCGGTAAGATGAGACCACGTGGAAATACATACATTAACAGAAATGGGCTAATACTTAAGACAGAGCTAGCCGATAAAAAACAAGTAACTGGCCAACAGCATTTATACAGAGTCTCTGTGTGTTAATTGGGGCTGGTGTGGCAGTGGGACCAGACTGGTGGCGGGGAAAACCTTACTCCTTACATCCCTCCCCCTTTTTTTTTTTTTTAGGGTAGATTCCTCCTTCTGCTTATTCTCTCTGCCCACCAGCCCCACCTCTCCCTCTTCTACCTAGCTATTGGCCATTCAGCTTTTTATTAGACCAATCGGGTGCCTTACGCAGGCAAGGTAAAAAAAATACAACATATCTTTACATTGTTAAACAAATGCAGCATAAACAAATGTGACACAACTTTACATAGTTAAAGTAATATTCTACAACATCTTTACATGAAAATAAACAAGCAATTCTTCCCAGTAGCAGGAAAACCTGCTTTCATCTTTAATAAATGGAAGAATTATCTATATACCAAAGATTTGCTTTAACATAAATGTCTTCATGATTATCAGTAAGTGCTTGGCTTGTATACCTGTTACCTACTACTCAGGGCATGTAAAATTTTCTCAAGCACAAAGAGGTTTCCAGTGGAGAGAGTGTAAGAGGCCCTGTTCTGATTGGTTTAGTAAAGAGCTGAATGGACAATAGCAAGGCAGGAGAGAGAAACAGGTGGGGCTGGCAGGCAGAAAGACTAAATAAGAGGAGAAATCTAGGCTAAGAGCAAGGAGAAAAAAAAAATGAGGGAGGAGCAAGAAAAGGAGAGGAAGATGCCAGGGACCAGCCACCCAGTCACCCATCCAGCCACAGACTAAGAAGGAAAGAAAGACATAAAGAATAAAGAAACTTAAAAGGCAAAATGTAGTTAAAGAGAAACAAGATGATTTAAGTTAGAAAACCTGACTAGAAACAAATCAAGCTAAGGCATTCATAAGTAAGACTAAGTCTCTGTGTATTTATTTGGAAGCTGGGTGGTGGACTCCCAAAGAGTGAAAAAACAAACCAACCATACCTCATAGCACTGTGCTTTGTGCAGTACTATAGCTCTGACTTTGCCCCTTCTCGATGGACAGCCTTAGACAAGTTACATCCTTGTTTGGTAGAGGGTCACCATAGGTTTGTTCTAAGAGTCAGATAATAAGTAATATGTGGATAGCTTATCCCAGAACACATAATAGGGACCTAGGTGGGCCAGGAACCTCTTCTCTGCTTCTGGATACTGCATTGCTTATAGGATTGTTGTGGTGCTATGGTGGAACTCGGGTCACCATGAATACTAGGCAGGTGCTCTAGCTCTGAGCTGCACTCTTCTTGGATTTGAGGAATCTGTGAGGCCTACAGCTGCAGTGTTTAATATTCCCTGAGGCTGCAGCATAGGGACCACATACCACTGCCGTGGGTAAGTACAAAACAAGTCAGCAGCCATTGAGAGAGAGGCAGAGGCAACAGAGAGAAACAGGATAGAGAGAGGCAGAGGCAGAGCCAGAGAGAACCAAGAGCCAGAGAGAGTGAGAGAGAGAGAGAGAGAGAGAGAGAGAGAGAGAGAGAGAGAGAGAGAGAAGAACAGGGACAGAGAAAGGCAGCGATGGATAGAGACAGGACAGGTAACCAGTGGCAGAAAGTCCCAAGCAAGCCGAGAGCCCGGTAA